TACATCACCAAAACAGTCTCACCCGATAAATAAGTGGCGTAGGCCGCAAACACGCATCACGCGGCCGTAGTCACAGTCGGGGGCCTTCCACCCACAAGAGGGGGTTGCCTTACGCTGAGCGAATCCCTAACAATTGTGTGTGACGCTGACACTTCGTCTGACGGTAGCAATAACCCGGGGGGCGTCGAGTGCACGTACCCTGGATGTGCAGGGAAGAGCAAACGGTTCACGCATTCACGGCAGGAATGCCGAATAGAACAACGGGACAGAACGACTGGCCGCGTGGTTGTCGAAATAGGTCCGAAGCAGGGATAGGATAGCCCAGATGGGCACCATTCCTTGGCCTGTTTGGGAGACACGTCTAGAGACCCAACAGCAGCAGCAGAGAGAGTAAGAGTAGACGAGGGAATCATGGGCATCACCCCAAACATGTCCAGCCTCTGGTGGTAGCACAAGCAGATGAGGTAACTAGTAGTACAGTTCCCGAAGCAGCATCTGAGTCCACTTCCATACGGTCTTCAACTCAAGCGCGTACGTGTAGCCGCCGAAATAAAGAATCCCCCCGTCGATCCCATCACGATTGACACGGCATGTGACATTCCGTGTATTTCAGCAGCATTTATTTATGCGACGTCACAAAACCCTCAAACACGCGGAATTTTTTCCCGTCCCCCGCGGAGTAGTCAGATCATGTTGTGCGGGGTGGAGNTCGCCGAATATCTCACGGCGCTTCGCGCTTGGTGATGTGAGAGCCTGGTCCGGTGAGAACCCGGCGTGCTCCGTCCCGGCTTTGTAGGGATGCGAGGTCAATGGTCTAACGACTAGGGCATGCACGCCTATGAGTACACCCCCCCTCACNATTTATGCGACGTCACAAAACCCTCAAACACGCGGAATTTTTTCCCGTCCCCCGCGGAGTAGTCAGATCATGTTGTGCGGGGTGGAGAACCCTAACTCCGCGCAAGGGGGATGATCGCACTACGTTGTGTTAAAATGGTCAAGCACCCTCGAGGCAGCTTTGCAGTGC